TTATTATAATTATTTATAATATAATATATTATTAAATAAATATATATTTAATATAATTAAATATAAAATAATTATTATAATTTATTATATTATATTTTATATTATATTTACTATAATATTAATTATATTAAAATTATAAAAATATATAAATAAATTATAATTATCAATAATATAATATATTTTTTTATAATATTATTAATTATATATAAATATATTTGTGCGTGTATTTGTGTTTAAAAATAAGGATTATTATTATTAAATAATTGTAATAATTTCATAAATATATTGTTTCTATTTTGAAAATAATTTATTATACATATGCATAAAATATTGTATTATTTTCATTGATTTCTGATCGAATAGTATAATTTTCATGTGAAGTAGCCTCATTGATAGTAAACAACGTTCTCTATATCAAATGTTTCGATAGCTTAAATGTCAAAGGTTTTGATAACGTTCAATCTTTTGACAATATTACTACGGTTAATTATAGTTTATAATTAAGTTATAGAGAGTATCAATGTCATTAAAGATAGAACAGTGTTCATTGAAGACATTAAATTTAACATTAACCATCAAAAAAAGACAATAGAACTCAAAAAGGAAGAAAAATCGGTTGAACCACTTCGAAACTTTGCTAAGTTTATCTAAGAATATTTTTTGTTTATGTTTTTCTTATTTACAATTGACAAAATATAAAAAAAAAAATAATTGATAATCAAGAAAAATGTTATCTCTCGTTAATTTTGAACGTAAATTTGTTTGATTCAAAGATAGATAGAAAAAAAAAAAATATATATATATATATATATATATAAAGGAAAAATCATCGTTCATTTTTTTCTATGATTTTAAATTTAAGTAGAAAATAATCTATCGGCTTTTAAAGATAATATTTAATTGAATTATTGATAAAATAATGATTATAAAAAATTATTAGATAGATGAATGATTTTAGATTTGTTTTTTATTTTTGATTATACTTGTACACGACAGCCTCCATATCCGTCACTTTTTTGATTACCAGGACATGATATTGCTGGTGCATCTATTATAAAAGCAAATTTACTCGATATTTCTATGGGTTTTTCTTTTTCTTTTTCTTTCTCTTTTTCTTTTTCTTTTTCTAGTCAATCTTGCGGTAAAACATCTAAACAAAATAGAAAAATTTTAAATTACAATATTGTTAATGATAAATTTATATTAATTCCAATATAAAATAATTCTAAAAATTAAATAACTAATTATAAAATTAATTATAAAATTATTATTAATTTAATAATTAATTATATAATTTTTAGAATTATTTTATATTAAATATATATTTAATTAGTTATATAATTGTTAGAATTATTATTTTATATTCAATATATATTTAATTAATAATATAATTTTTAGAATTTTTTTTATATTGTAATTATATTTTTAATTATATTTTATATTTATTATTTTTATATCAATATTTTATTTAATATTATATAATTATATTTTATATTTATTTTTTTTTTACATTATTATTTTATATGATTTTACAATTATTTCTATTAAAAATAATAATAATATTATAATACTTATTATTTCTTTTATTTTCATATTATATTATTTAATTCAACGTATATATTTTTATATATGCTATAATAAATAAATTATTAATGTATCTAATTACATACCTAAATTACATTGCATGAAACATTAAAACAAAAATTTATTACGAAAAAAAAAGAAGAAACATAAAAACATAATAAACAAATCTATAAATTAATAATACCATTTACGTTTTAATATATTTCATTAGAAAATAAATATAATATTAACGTACCACCAAGCAAATGATCTAACTCATGAGGTAAATCAATTGCAGGTAACTTGACTTCAGTTCCATTATTAGATAAATTAATTAATTCATCTGTATCGATTTGCAATGGATGACCAATTGTTGTTGCGAATAAAAATGTCACTAATAAAAATGTGAACAAATAAAAAATGAAAGAATTCATTTTATTCTTTTTTTTTATTGTTTTTTTTTTTTTTTTTAATAAACAATTCGTACAACACAAAATGTTCACCGATCAAAGGATGTTAATCTTCTCCTATCTTCTTCGTATCAAACAAATCCTTTTATAACAAATATTTCCCCCACACACTCTAAATTAAAAATATATATATATAATAAATTAAAAAATTAAACAGTTGAGTGATTTTGAGAAATTCATTTTTGAAAATAATAACTTTGTCCTTGAAAGAAGGATCCAAGTTACGTTAATTGTTAATTATCTAGAAAAGTGTATATGATTGATTGAATTATCTGATTGAACAATAATAATTCATACAGAATTACTTAATTGTTCCTAGACAATATTATAAACATCAGTTTTCATTTTTTTTTTCTATTCTTCTTCTTCTTTTTCTTCTTCTTCTTCTTGAAAAAACTCAAAATGATTTTATAATTATATTCAACTTTGTGTAGTATGATCATGTATTAAATGATGATTCAGCAATAATGTTGCATCATAATATAAATTTACGTAAAATGTTAATTATAGTAATTACGGCATACCTGGAAGAAAGTTTGATAAGATCACGTGATAATAAATACTTTCGAAGATTATAAATAAAAGATAGATCAGGATTTTTTCATCAGTATAGTTAATATTTTTCTTCATAGTTCGTCACGTATCGTTGATTCGTTCGTCATTTGACTTTGGAAAATATTAAAAATTTTAACTGAAAGGTAAATAATATAATCAAATATTATTTTAGATTAATTATTATATATATATTGAAATGTGTAATTTTATTTATTATTTTTATATTTATTTTTAGATTTATTTTTTTTTATTTTTTTTTCTTAGATTTATTTTATATTTATTTTATATTTCTATTTTAATTATTTTTATATTTATTTTATATTTTCACATTTATTATTAATTATTTCAATATATAATTGTATTTATTATTTTAATTATATTATAATTAGTTTCAAAAAAAAAAAATAATAATATTACAAAATTCAATTGAAATTTAATTTTCAATACGCAAGTTTGTAATATTATTTTTAAATTATATTATTTAATTAAAGAATTATTAAAGAATTATATCAAATTTACATTGCTATTTCTTTCTTTTTTTTATTTATTTATTATTTATTTCCAACAAAAACAAAAATTGCATATGACTGCAGAAATAATTATACTATACTATTTCACATAATTTTTCTTTATATTAAAAATGAAAAAAAACCCCACAATATTATTGAAATTAATTATAAACCTACTTGTAGAATTATTTATTTATTTATTTATGTATTTATTTATTTATTCTATTTCTATATTTATATTTTTAAATATTCATTGATTGTGACGAAACGAAAACGTACGAAATATTTTCTTGCAATTAGGATGAAAACTTTATTGGTCATCTTCTTATCAATCTTTCTATTCAATGGTCTATTGGTTAATTGCGATGAAACTTCATCACCAGAACCATCAGTAACACCATATTCACCAATACCACCAGGACCACCACCAATAATACCAAGATTGGTAGCACTTCGTTCAAGACTACGTACAATGATTCCACATAATGAAAATGGTGTTCCTATAATCTTATCACCTGATTACGTACCCTCTGAACCTGCAGTTTCAATGATCAATGTAAAAAATTTAGAATGTGAGGAAGGTCAGAAACGAGATGCAAATGGCAAATGTAGATCAGTTGTTTAAAAATAATCAATCACTATTATTATTATTTTATTTCAATAAAATTCACACTAAGAAATAACGTAATATTAATTAGGTCAATTAAATTAATTGTATATTAAATAATATACTTAAATATTATGTGAATTTTGTGTAAAGACAAATTTAGGAAAAAAAGAAACTCATGAATAAATTATAGTTCAATTTACTATGTGATGTTTACCCAATATTTTACATTTTATTCGTAATACATATTAATTATAATATTATACATTATATCAATATATTATTATTTATATATTTAATTTTATTATAAAAAAAAATATTAAAATATTGTTATTTTTTTTATATAATTTTTTTCTATATTAAAATTAAGTATATAAAAAATATAAATATTTATTAATATAATTATAATATTAAATTAACATTATAATA